ACATAGAAAAAGAAACTTGGCTTGCAAAAAGTACATAGAAAAAGAAACTTGGCTTGCAAAAAGTACATAGAAAAAGAAACTTGGCTTGCAAAAAGTACATAGAAAAAGAAAGCTCCATCTGCAAGAAGGCTCTTGGCTAAAACCATCATCTGCCGAATTCCTTTAAAATATACGTAATATACACTAAAGAAATTCTGATTCCAGTGTGGCACAATCAGCTCATTCCAACAGTGTTCTTTTTATAAAGGAGTACAAAAAAACAAAGAGTCCTCGGACAGACAGACAGACAGACGGACAGACAAACAGACGGACGGATGAACGGACGGAGGGACAGATGGATGGATGAACGGATGGACAGACAGATGGATGAGTGAACAGATGAACAGATGGATGGACTGACGTACAGGCTGATGGACAGACAGATGGATGAATGAATGAATGGACGAACGGATGGATGGACAGACAGACAGACAGACAGACAGACAGATGGACAGACAACTATGTAATCATAATTCCAGTGTATCACACATCAGTAACTGCATGTCCAATTTATGAAAGCACCTCAAGCAAAAATTGTAAACGATTCAAAAAGGAAATTTCACCCACCTCTTACTCTCCGAGTTGTCCCTTTTCCTCATATCCTTCAAACTAGATTCTGAAATCCGAGAAAAAAAGGAAAAATCTTGTAATGTCAACTCTTCCACAGCCTACGTTTTCTTTCACTCATTTCACACATTTTTACTCAAAACAGATCTTAACCCATGTACCGCAGGCCGCAATTACTTAGCACCTTTTTCTGCAAAATACACAGAGCAGATGAACATTGAGAGAAAACAAACCCAGTGTAACTTGAGCCACTGCCTTAAACAGACCTTTGAAATAACACGGTGGGGAGACGTTTGTAGGCCAGCATTATAGAGTCGTGAAGAAGATCAAAGGTTTCTCACAGAAATGTTACTGTGTGCACAAGGCAGACTCATTTCGGATATCATCATTATTACTGGGAGGGGAGGGGAGGGGAGGACGGGTAGCGAGGGCGTG